GCACTTAACATGTCCACTTCAATATGCAAAATTATATACAAAATCTAGTCATAAGGAATTATTACATGATTACGCCACCAGTCACTAGTAGACACTAGACACTCAAAAATGGCATATTATTTGCAAAAAAGAGATCAAACATGAGTGTTGATGATCTCTGTATTTGACTCATTCTCATTCAGTCTGCCAAAGCCTCAAATTACTTTAAAAAATATATATTTCTTTGATGTTTTTGTTTTATTCCCTCAGAGTTGAGGAGATTGTTTTTGAAGTGTAAGAATCAGACCCTCATTTGAGATTATGATACATCATTGTGGTGAAATCATGCTAGATATTTGGTTGCGAGGGGGAAAAAAAGACATTACCATTTAATGTGAAGTGACATTTGGCATTCATCCTCCTTTAACCTTTTTGTTGACAAAATCAGCTTACATTTTAGAGAAAAAAAAGCACAATTCCACTTCACCAGTTCAGGGTTGTAAAGTATTTCAGGTCATATCGCATCACCGGTTCAGGAGTTGTCATCCGACTCTCTGTTAGGTTAACAAGAACTAAAGGCAGGCTGAGCCACCAGGTGTGACACGTCCACTCACACACACACACACACACACACACACACACACAAACACACTCCCAACACCCTCTAGACTTCCTCTGACAGGCCTCTATTTGTTACAGTGGGCTTATTAACGACCGTTCCTACTACTCCGTTCTCTCTGTTTTTTTCTCCCCCAACACAATTCCACCACGTGGTCGCGTGGGTCTTCACTCATTAAGTTGATTTCCTCCCCACAGATTCATTACTTTGGATGTATATTCCGAACAAAATGGATACCCTGTTCCAGATAGGGATGTCCCCTGGTCCCGGACCAGTCCCTTGCCTCATAAACATCAGTTTTCCCAGTGAAGTAAAGAAATCTTCTTTGGCTAATGGCCCCCCTTCCTCTTTTATGGAGTTTTGTCAAGGATACAGTTTTTTTTTTTTACAACTTACACTGTGTTCGGCTATTGATCAAAAAGGTTCATCCATGCACAATTCGTTAAACAGAATTTACATTTACAATGCATATGCATATGATTATAAGCTTGATTTTGAATTATATATGGAAGCTTTTTGTTCCATCTCCCAGCGAGAGGTCTTGTTTTTGTTCTCTTCTGCTTTATCTCCCAATCGCACACTGCCCACATACGATTTTCCTTGACTTTTAAAGACAAAAAAAACAAATAGATCTGAAAAAAAAAACGTAGGTACATGCATTCAAAGGGAAGAACACTCACACTTCTGTCATGACACAAACAAAAATCTTCTGAAAGAGGATGCTTATTCTTGCTTAAGAGCTTTTGACATGCCTGTCACAACGCTGGCGTAGCCTTTTTAGCGATGAGCCGTACGCTCCGTTGCCACGGTAAGCCTCTTGGATCTTAGCCCTTTGATGCATGTTTGCGTGTCTGACGCATTGATAACTAAAATGTGAGTAAATAAGTACGAAAATAAGGAAGAAAACGACAAGACAGCTCCCAATTCAACATCTGTATTTCTCATTTTATCCCCTAAAATGAACAACGGTGTCCCTTCTTCCTTAATATTCAATTAATATTTCATCTTAACTTTGAATTTATCCATCTCTGATACCCGTCCTATTTGTGGTACCCATTTATTCACATGCTTTTTGCTAGTACTGTTTTCCTTTTTTAAAAGCTGTAGGCAAATGGATCTGAATAACTGGAAAAAAACTTAAGAGTGACAAATGAACCCATTTGGCCCGTGCACTTTATTATGCAATCATTTCATCAACTTAATGGATGCGTAAAAGGAATATACAGCACACATGGCACTCAGTACTTAAGGCCCCAACTTTGAGAACTTCTCTAATCTAATATGTTTCCCTTTGTCGGATTCCAGTCACAATGGGATCGTTAGTGTCTTTTATTGTGGATGTATTCCTATTAGGGATGCATAGATATTCGTATTTATTTGTAGAAGAACACATTTCTCACTATTAGTCCCGCTGTAGATTTAAGGCTTCACTCCCTCCTCACACACTGATATCCTCTCCTCTATCTATCACCCGAATTTTTTTCTCGAGCTCTGCCCCCCGATAGAGAGCAGACGGGGATTTGAGTGACTCTGTCAAGCTCCTCTGCATTCCCGAATCTGTGTTAAATTGGTTCAGAGCTTAAGTAGAGTGTGAGCCTGGGAAAAAAAAAAAAAATACAAACAACACCTTGAGGCAAAGTGACCCCGGATGAAATCATTTTTAAAAAGTGACATGCAGTCAAGACTATTTTGCGGACACACATCAAACACGTACACACATTCACAAGCTCAAAGTTAGAAATATATATATATATGTATATATATATATTTGTCCCTGAGTCTGGTTTCGGTCCATTCTTAGTCCACAGGCTTCAAAAACTGCGGCTTTTCTCACACAGGCACATGTGTCCTCTGGCATTGATGCCGTGACTTTGGTCACATTAAGAGCTAATGCTTTGGCAGCATGAAGGGACAACAGCGTGAACGAGGAAGTATGGGTTCTTTCCTACATTTTGGGCACTACCGATTGTGATACGTAAGTGTCTGAATTACCTAATGTGTAAAATTAGGTCATGGGTTACTCTTTAAGTTGGATTTTCAACACTGATTGAACAAAAAAAAAGTAGAAGCTTTTGTGAAAACCAAGCATGCCCATGAAAAATTGTCGAATGATTCACATGTATAAACGCTGTGTACAGGTAAAAAACGTTCAATTTATGGGTGTTTTTAACCCTGTAATGCCAAATGTATCATATTTGATACATACGGTTTCTGAAATGTTTTGCGTCTGACACCTTTTCCATAATTTAATGGTAAAAACTTTGCTCAAAATCCTATTGTACACATTCAGATACACCTGATAACAGGGGGCAGAAGACTACACAAAAAATAATCTTGACTTATCGCATAATAATAAATTATTAATAATAAAAATGTATTTCTGTTTTTTTCTTTTTACGTATTTTGTTAAACGGCCAAATAAGGAATTCAAACCAAAAAATATTTTTGGATCAGGCATTAAAGGGTTAAATGCTCTGTGCATCGAAAGGGTATCCACACATTAAAAAGTTTAGACAAAAGCTTCCCTCTTCATATCAACTCACAGATACTAATTTAATGGCATTTCTTTTGTTCTGAGACTAATTGAACGTCACCGTTCTGACAAAGCATTCGGTGTGGTAAACCATGCTATAGGCACACAGCCGAATCTTTGTTTGGACAGACAGACGTGATAATTGGTTTCCGCGTCAAGATTCATCGGTCCCTGCGCATTGTTTCATATTTTTTCACACCGTGGAAGCTTGAAAAAAGATTTCTGACAGGAATGAAGTGTTGTGAGACGATATGCGAGGGGATCATTCAGGAGAAATTCCAGACCTTAATTGTGTTGTTTTAATGAGTTGGTCGTTAAAATTAGTGAAAATGAACGTTAAAAAAAGCCTTAAGATTATGTATTGCAGTCATATAAAGCCTCAGTTAAAAAAATGGAAATCTAGGTAAAATAAAGATGGAATACAATGATTATAAGAAACTTTTATTGAAACAATGAGATGTCCTTCCGCTCAATGTCATCCCAAAATCTTGTTAGGATTATTTGGTATAAAAAAGATCGCTGATTTTCGCTTTTTTCTTCTGGATGAATGAAAAACTCACAGCACAAGGAGTCAAACGGATTTTGATCCCTCATGGCAAGGGGCTTTTTGTTGAGTCCAGTTATGACCACTTCTTTAAGAAGGAGTATCTATCTTACTGATGATTTTACATTAAAGACCTTTTGATAGCCATATTTCCAACATTTAATTCAACTTATTTATGCATTGTAGTGGTTTTTAGAATAGAATTTGTATCACTAATCTCTCACTTCACCTTACAAACAAGATAAGTGTTAAATGAGAATACAGTGGGGGAAATAAGTATTTGACCCCTTGCTGATTTTGCAGGTTTTCCCACTTACAAAGAATGCAACGATCTATAACTTTAATCATATGTACATTCTAACAGTGAAACACAGAATCCAGAAGAAAATTCCAGAAAATCACATCATGTGAATTTATAAAAATTGATAACCATCTGATGAGGAAAAATAAGCATTCTTTGTAAGTGGTCAAACCGGCAAAATCAGCAAAGGGTCAAATACTTATTTCCTCCACTGTATGTGTATAATACATACACACACACATATGTATATCTATATCTATCTCTCTCTCTTCTCTCTATTTAAATAATTATATCTCTACATATATATATATAGTTTTACATGGAAGGTATACAGTCAATCCACCGACCTGTAACATGGGAGTGGTCAGATTACACATTTCCTCTCCGTCAGCTCAACTGTTTGACAAGAGGGCGAAGAAGAATGAGCCCGGTTCGACAGCTCGCACAATGCAGCGTGCCGCCAGCTCCCTATCTGACCGAACGATCGGCCAAATGACCGTCCAGCTTTTCGCACAGCCGTCTGTTTGACCGAGGCACACGAAGCGTTTACTTTGTGAGCTCTGCTCCGAATAGAAAAAAAAAGCGGTCCCCAAATGCACCGTGGCTCAAACGCTTCATCTTTGGCATATCCCATCTTTTCTTTTTTCTTCATTTGGTCATAAATCCTCAAAATATGCTGGCCGTTTAACACAAAAGGGCCAAAAATATTACATTTCTTTATACGAGGGTAAACGACTTGCAGTTATTTTAATAATTTTTAACGTAAGAATGCAGTTAATTCCTGTCTCAACTTCAAAAAATTGTGAATGTGATCACTTATCTGATACAAATCTGATGTGTATGGTCTCAGGTCAGTTTATCGAAATGTGGTCAGTGGTTGTGTATATCGATGGCTCTAAATAGCACCTTCTTGTCTTTGATAAATCTCCATCTCTTGGCTTTATTGGACGATGTAATTGCCAGTGTAAATGTTTTTGGGTTGTGAACTGCAAACTGCACTTCTGCTACTCATTTTTTCTTTCAGTCTTTGAGCAGCACAGCCTTCATATGATGTAATCCTTCGGGAGAAACGCGCGTCTTTTTTTGTTTTTTTCCTTCCACACTAAACGTTTCATGGTCATTCCGTGCCATCAAAACACAAAAAAGCCGCCTTAGCCCAGATATATTGAGTGACACGGTGCCCTTGGCGTTCGTTATTAGCATCTCAGCACAACGGGGCCCTATTTGCATCATTGAGTCGCCGTTCTACCCATAAGCCGCTGACTACGGAGAACGCTCTAATTCTAACATCCGAAGGGAGTAACGACCCCAACAGCTGCTTCGGGGGGGGGGAAGTTATCAGCCATGTTATTGTTTTCAAGCTCATCCCACAAGATTTCCCACGGAGGACCGAAAGCGGCGCGGATGGATGAATGCTGCTGACCTTTTTGTTTTTAGCACCTACGTTACAGGTGTCACGGATGCTAGCAGGGACCCGGAGTTTTTTTTTTCCTGGATGCGAGACTCCATCTGGTCCCAGCGCTGTTCCAGCGCCTTCTGGCACGATTCATCGCGATGCTGCCAGTTTGGCGACCGTTATTTACAAATTCCCCCTTTAAATGGATTGTTCGTACCTTGAGGCTGGGGTTTGCGCGGACTCACGCGCTCAAGAGGTTCTCGGGTTGTCCTCCATCTGTCCCACTCCCATAATCGCGATATCGCATCAAAAGCTAATGTTTTCCAGCACATCTGCACACCGCAATAGCATTTTTCTTTCACGTCACCAAAGGCACATCAATCAGACCTTCTTTAACCCTTTAAAGCGTGATCCAAGAATAAAGCAAAACAGAAAATTACTTTTATTTGGTTTTTAAGTTCTTATTTGGCCTTTTAACTAAATATGTAAAAAGAAAACAACAGAAACAGATTTTTAATATTAATAATTTATTAATATGTGATAAGTCAAGATTATTTTTTGTATAGTCTTCTGCCCCCTGTTATCAGGTATGTCTGATTGAGTACAATAGGATTTTGAGCAAAGTTTTTACCATTAAATTACGCAAAAGGTGTCAGACGCAAAACATTTCAGAAACCGTATGTATCAGATATGATATATTTGGCATTACAGTGTTAAAATGTGTTCACTGTATCAAGCTTTAGTGCCTCTTTTGAAGTCCCTACCACTCCCGGCCCACTCTAATATCAGAAAATGAACTTTGATGTATTTTGGTATGGATCCAATCTTTCATGCCCCATTACTCAAGTCCCAATAGGCGTAGCGGTGTGTGCTCACTGACAAAAAAAAAAAAAAGAATATTCTCTGAATATTTACCTCTTTGTACAATGACATTTTCTCCTTTTTTTGGAAAAAAAAGAAAAACTAAAGGACACCCAGGGTTTTGCGTACCTCTGAGCGCGGACCCGATGTCAGCTGTAATATTTGTAACAGCTTGTTGTCAGCTTTTATTACCAATACAAGATGCTGATGGCTGTCCTTGACGGATACAAGATGCTGAACGGCGAATAGTCTGCTTTTCCTTGAAATACACAAAGATCAGCTGAAAGTGAGAGATGTAATTTTCCCAGCAGAGGCATTCCATGTCCCATGGATGAAAATGTAGATCCCAATGGATTTTTTCCACTCGAAGACTGAATTCGGTCATGGAATTTTAATCTATCATTATCAGCCGATTATAGAAAGATGTGGATGCTTGCTTTCAACATTTCTTTTTATTTTATTAGCTGCAGAGTCAAAAATATGAATACACATAAAGTAATGCTTGTGTTATATAAAGGAGAGGTGGTTTACAAGAGTGTTATGCTTGAGTTGACCTCTTAGATGGGACTGATGCCGGGATAACATCCACCAATTCAATCCACATCATTTACATTTTTATCTCACACTTGACATTTCGTTTGTCGGGGATTGTTGCGCAATCCCTGTTTTCACTCATTCTCATGCAAAACAGTCGAATTATTCAAGTGCGCCGCATAGCAATGTAAGATCTCGCTGATGGATGCCGTTTTGTGTGAATTAGTCGCCGCGCTTTAAGCGAATTACTTACAGCTGTTTGAAAGGCACGGGTTAGCTTATGCCTCATGTTGTTCAATTCCGTCGTTTGTTTGCTGCGCTCTCTTTGCTGCTCGCTCATCTGCAATCATTTCCTACATGTAAATGTTTGTCTGGGCGAATGATTAGAATCTAAACGGCACTTTGCGCGAAGCGTTTGTCTTCTGAAGTGGTCACCCTGGCTGTTAAAGAAATGACTGACTAATGACTTAAAGGCCGTTAAGTGCAGTTCACCGCTACACCGTTTGTTCCTTGAATATTGTTGTTTGTGTTTTACCTCTGTTTGTTGATGTGCAAATAATAGCTGCAATACTTATTGACGCTGACACTGTTTCTTGAGAAATCAGCCCACTTCTGTAGTCCTTTACATAGTCCTTAGTTTTTAATGAGGAGCTTCACAAGTCAGTCAAAGCTCTTCTCACTCTCTTGACACAGGTGTATACTTCTAAAATGTACTCATAGAATTAAATTACTGTAGACTCCTTACTGGAAATAGTGTAAATCTATAGAGACAGTTTAATTCGAAGTGTTCAAATGAAATAAAAAAATCAAATCGGTTAAATTCTTATAGAGGCTGAATTTCCTGGTTTAGGAAAACAACAGATTTTATTGGCTGATTGATCCACTAGTTTTGTTCTTTGACTATGTGAGAAAATTGGTCAAGGTGAAAACAACATATGAGGACGCCATATTTAACTAAAGGGTTCAAATTTTGCCAAACACATTTAGCACCCTGCCAGCATTTTATCCAGTCAGTACATGTAAATTGGTTTATACAATCCAAATTGGGTTTGGGACGCACTTGCCAACATTTAACTAAATGAGCTTCAGATGCCCCTCTGGCCCTTGACGGCCAGAGTATCTTTGGGGAAAAGACGGAGAACAACAAAGTTGTGTGGTATGACGGACTATCGCGGTATAACTGAAATTAAACTTTAATCTTGCTTTGATAAAAATCAGTTTTACTCCTTGCCATCAATGAGTTTAGGCTCCTTGATGATCATCTGACCTCATCCATGACATACTTCACCATACCTGACACTGGCCAGCCAGAGACACATTTCTATTTATTTTTTCGTATTTGGGATTATACAATAGTTTATGCATTTTTATGTATTTTACAATACAAAGTTGTCACGGGATAAAGGCTGGTTTATATTGGTCCCTCATTTTGGTTTCATTTGTTTCCTTCCCAATATTTTAGTGGATTTTTTATTTATTTTCAGATAAGGAAGGAAACCTGAAAATGGATGGCCATTTTGTTAATTCTACTATCAAATTTTATATACCTTCTGGCTTTTTATCAGCCCAGCTGTGTTTAGATACAGTTTCCTCTGTAACCTATTCAAACAGAAATTTACATTCAAGACATCTAATCTACCTTCTAGTCTTTTGCCTTCGAAAAACAGCCTAATTACAAATGTAAATGCCTTCTTTAGTTTCTTGTTTCATAGATGGATGATTTAATGATTTTTCTACTGCTGTAAAGCAACTTGTTGCTGCAAAAATGATCAGATTCCTGGTCAATCGGAATAACAGCATTTACCACTTTGAGTCTCAACCCAGCTGTGATGTATTTATACCATTAGACTGATTTTATTTGTCCACTGAAAATTAGAAAATAAAAAGGGAGAAGCATACAAATGGTCCCACAAAAGTGTAATGAAGAAAGATTCAAGGTTTTTAGGTTTTATTCCTAACAGACCTTTTAAACTCTGGGACACTGTTATCTGACTCACAAAAACTTGGTGTGTTTTTAAACTCTTTTTGTTCTGTATTCCTTCACGTCACACTAACATTTGCACCAAAATTAACTGACTCCAAGATCTTTGTCCTCTCTTCATCTCCCATGAGGCGAGAGATGAAAAAAAGAAAAACCTTGCCACTGTCCTTGCATGTTGTTATTCAATATCAAAAGTCACCCTCAACAACTTCAGCTATAAAACAAAAGTTAATGCATTTGTCTGTCATTTCACTTTAGAATCAGTTGGCAATAATACAAAAAAATAACCGACATTTTGGAGGAAATTATTATCTTTATCAATAAAAAAAAATGTTGATGCTGTACTTATAGAAAACTAGCCAAGGAAACAACTTGTTTAGATCCCAAACTAGATCCCAAGCTAGATCCAAGCTTTGGCTTTACACAATTTAGCACCAGTGACCATAATCAAGTGAAAACATTGTCAGTTTAACATCAGTAACAGATTGTGAGGCCAGGGTTCAGCAAGGGCCTTTACGATTTAATTTTTAAAAAGCAGCTGTAATGTGGATTTATGGTAAATGTGCATGATGATCAAGGTAATTCAATGACTGATTAAATATGATAGTTTTCACAGATAAACCTCAACTGGGGATACATAATGGTGGATGTGTCATTTAGACTAAAAGCAGATGGCACAGCTGTGTTAAAGTATTTTTATTCATCTCCAGTTAATCCTAACATGACCTGAACATAATTGACTTGGATAAACTCATCTCTTACATCCAATTTGGCAACAACCTACCAAGTATCCCATAGTAAAATTGACAGATGCTGATCTGCTTTTAGCAAAATCACTGCACATCCTAAAGTAGCAAAAACCATATGGCATACAATCTATTTACCTATTTCTTTTTTAACTGAAAATCGTGATTCCTTACAATGGCTATAAGCTGTTAAAGAATCACAATTTATATTAAAGCTAGCATTTTTTCACCATATATGTTTGCATATGTTTGCTAATAAACCTTTTAGCAATTGCCTCCTAATGTCATATATGATAATCTCTCAGTGAGAGGGAGTAAATTGTTTTTATGATTGCGCTATACTTCACTTTATATAGCTCTGTCCTTATTTTTGATACAAGACTTATAATTGTTAAGTAATTAAGACGGTTTTCTTAAATCAACGCTTTTTACTTTAATTAAGGATTGAACACTGTCTCAACCCCTGACTATGTGAATGTTACAAGTATGTTAACAGAGTTGAGTAATAGGCTTTCCGTGCCTACTGAGATTAATTAAA